AACTCAGGTTCCGCCTTTTACTGCCCTGATTGGCTCTAGCCTCCTTGGGTACCGCCCCCTGCCCTCATCGGCCCCATCGCAAGGCTTGAGAGAGGTCCTTCCTCTCCCTGATTGGCTCAGTCCTCCAGGGCCCCGCCTCTGCCACCCCGCCCTCTGGCCCCGCCCCTCACTGGCCCCGCCCCCAGGTGGAGATCCTGGAGGGCCGCACCGAGTGCGTGCTGAGCAACCTGCGGGGCCGGACGCGCTACACCTTCGCGGTACGCGCGCGTATGGCCGAGCCCAGCTTCGGTGGCTTCTGGAGCGCCTGGTCGGAGCCTGCGTCGCTGCTGACGGCTAGCGGTGAGGTCCTAGGCGGGAGCCGTAGAAGGGGCTGGGGCGAAACACGGGACAAGCCCACCGCCCTGACGTCCTCCCCGCCTCCCAGACCTGGATCCCCTCATCCTGACGCTCTCCCTCATCCTCGTGCTCATCCTGCTGCTGCTGGCCGTGCTCGCCCTGCTCGCCCACCGCCGGTGAGCCCCCTATTCGGGCACCTGGCCCATAGTCCTCCCCACCAATGTCCCTCTTTCACTGTGGAAACCTAGGCTCAGAGAAGTCACACAGTGAGGAGTCAGTGGTAGGGCTGGGACGCCAGCCAGACCAGACCCAGACTCTTAGTTAATACCCTCTACTCTTGGGGACATTCATCTGGTTTTCCTTCTACCTCAATGGCTGCCCCTTCTTGGATTCCTTTTGCTAGTTCCATTTCCCAATATCATCAACTTTGTAAAATCAACCAGATGGGCTTAATGGAAAGATTTAAACCCCTGAATGCCTCCCCGCCCCTAGTGTCAGGCTCCTCAGACGCTTTATGACCTGAGATATTTGTAATTCCAAGCACACACCGTGACGTTTCACACCTCCAAGCCTTTGCACCTGTTCCCTCTGCCTGGAATGCCCTTCCTCCCTGGCCCGCTAAGCAATCTCCTAGTTGTCTTTCATGGCCCTGTTCATTTACTTGCTTGGAAATACAAGTTGAGTGCCAACTACATGCTAGGCACTGGGGAGACAGTGAAGAACAAGCCAGACCCTGACCACAAGTCCGTGACCTTGTTGATCTCATAGTCAAGTCAGAGAGACAGACAACAAACAATGGAACCAACAAATATTTGATTATAAGTTGTGATGAATGATATTGCAGAAACAAATGGGACATGTGGACATGACAGGATTGTCAGAGATGGCCTCTGGGAGGAGGTGACATCGAAGTGGAAACCTAAAGGTTGTTAGGACACAGCCATGTGAAAAATGGGTAGAAGAAACAGCAAGTACAGGGCTGGCCGGTTAGTTCAGTGGGTTAGAGTGAGGTGCTGATAACACCAAGGTCCAGGGTTCCATCCCTGCACTGGCCAGCCACCAAAAAAAGAAACAGCAAGTGCAAAGTCCCTGAGGTGTGAATGAACCTGGAACAAAGAAGCAGCTGCAGAAAGAGCCATATGACTGGAGCAGTGTGTGATGGGGGAGTGGTGGGCAACGAGGTAAGGAAGGTGACATGGGACAGATCATGCAGGGGTGTGGGGAGGGGGTTTCATTCTGACTGCATTCAGGAACCATGGAAAGGAGTGAGTAGGGAATTGATATAATGGACCTCCATGTAAAGCCTGGTCCGGTGTTAGAGGGAGCATAATTCAGTGTATATCGAACTCCTATGTATCCCTCAAAACCCTGTTCCAGTCACCCTTCTGTGGGGCCTTGCTGATGCTTGAGCCAAAGCCCTTGCTCCCATTGTGATCTCAGGGGGCCACATCTATGCCCTGTGACTGGGTGCTGAAAGGGTATTGGTAAGTATTTGAGAACTCATGTCCATGTACCTGTTTCTTTTGGCTTCAACAGGGCTCTGAAGCAGAAGATCTGGCCTGGCATCCCAAGCCCCGAGAGCGAGTTTGAGGGCCTCTTCACCACCCACAAGGGGAACTTCCAGGTAGGTGGCCTAGTTGTCCCTCAGGGCCTGGGGCTTTCCTGCTCCTGCGGCTGAACCCCAGGCTTCTGAGCAGGCTGGTGCTGTTTCTTTAGCTGTGGCTGTACCAGAATGACAGCTGCCTGTGGTGGAGCCCCTGCACCCCCTTCACAGAGGACCCATCTACCCCCCTGGAAGTCCTCTCTGAGCGCTGCTGGGGGCTGACACAAGCAGCAGAGCCAGGGGCAGATGACGAGGGGCCCCTGCTGGAGCCAGTGGGCAGTGAGCAGGCTCACGACACCTATCTGGTGCTGGACAAGTGGTTGCTGCCCCGAAGCCCGCTCAGCAAGGACCTCCCAGAGCCTGGTGGCAGCGTGGCCACAGTGGCCACAGATGAAGGCTCAGAAGCATCCTCCTGCTCATCTGCCTTGGCCTTGAAGACCAGGCTAGAGGGGGCCTCAGCTGCCAGCTTCGAGTACACCATCCTAGACCCCAGCTCTCACCTCTTGCACCTGCGGGCACTGCCCCCAGAGCTGCCCCCCACTCCACCCCACCTGAAGTACCTGTACCTTGTAGTGTCTGACTCTGGCATCTCAGCTGACTACAGCTCAGGGGGCTCCCAGGGAGCCCAAGAGGGCTCATCTGATGGCCCCTACTCCAACCCTTATGAAAACAGCCTCGTCCCAGCCCCTGAGCCTCCGCCCCCCAGCTATGTGGCCTGCTCTTAGGACTCCAGCCTGCAGGTGCATGGGGTTCCAACATGACTTGAAGTGCCAGTCCAGGCCCAAGACTTATTGAACAGGGATGGCAAGCTTCCCTCAGGACTAGGGACATTGATGACCTTGGCTGTCTGCCCAGTCCATCCTGCTCAGGAAGTAACAAACTTGCAGTTATTCTTTTTTTTTTTTTTTTAAAAA